TCATCACCACTCCGATCATCGTCTTCATTTTTTTTTCTCCCTCCAACCAAAAAGCTCTATAAATTTTTGATTTCTTCTTTCACTAGGGGTGTGTGATATGCTTCACAGAGCTCTTCCCTTTTTGTAAGAGATTGAGGAAATCTACTCCCTTCGAATGTAAGGAAATAAAGTGAATAATTTTGACTGTAGAGATTGAGTCATTAAATCTATAATTAATGTGGATATTGTTTCCATTATATGTCATCTGTACTTAAGTTAAAAGAAAATTTACGTTACATTGCACAAGACTTTCGTGCTATTATTTTTCTGGTTGAATCCGATGGACTTCGTGATAAATTCCGGATGTACCTTGCTCTTTCTTTTTTTGTGCTAAAAAAATCACGTTTAGAGCGACAGTACATCGAGATCGAAACCCACAATCATGTAGTTAACCGGTCCTACCTCTATTATACAGTGCAATGAACCGATCGAATACATTAGTGACAACCGAATCACAAAAAACATAGAATGTGCACATATCCTATACCTACCTAATGTTGGGGGCGTAGTTCATGACTTTATCACAATTCTAATCTCTCAGTTTGAAGCTATCGTACAGATGCGCCCTCGTCCGCTACATCCAACACCTGAGTAGTTTATATAGAAATCATAACAAATGCTCTCAGATTTAATCTCGATCGAGACACATTATGCATACATGCACAAATTCTGGGGAAGCATTTCTAACTTGTATTATTAAATTTATCGATTTCAACTTTCAAGGACGCGATACTAAAAGTCTGGTTTCAACAACAACAACAAAAAAGACGAGAGAAACAGAAATGACAACTACGGAAGCAACTTGAACTCGGTATTAATCGTTGGAAATTCCTGCTTCGGTTGTTGATGGCTATTTGGATAACTGCTAGGACAATGTTTGTAGCACTTCCGCTTCGCAAGACAAATAGTATAAGCTCCATGTTTGCAAGTGTCTTTCATGCAAATGTTGACACAGTTTTCGTCATCTCCCGAAACCAGTTGATTCGTCGAGCTCGAAATCGCTAGCAATATCATCACCGCTACTCCGATCACTGTCTTCATTCTTCTTCAACAAACACCTCTACTACTAATTGATCTTGAGATCTTCTTGCACTAGAGGGTGTTTGATGCTTCTTCCACCACAGCTCTTCTCTTGCTCTTCTCTTTATTAGAAAACCCTAGTTCATAACTGGAAGAAAACAAAGATGGGTGCAATAAGTTTTGACTGTAAAAGAGTATCCTGAAGAGTAATTGCAACGGAAAAATGACAAGAAGGCAGTATCCTCTATTAATTACAAAATTAAATGATTCAATCTTTTTGGTCAAAACTGCCCCCCTCGTATCTCTATAAAAGAAGGAATGGAGTCTCCTCACTTCTTCACCATCAAGGGAAAAATAAAAAATTAAAGAAGTCTCAAATCAGCAACATACATATTATATTACACCCTCAAAAAAGATTTCACAACTTCTCCAGAGAATGAAGACGACGATGATCGGAGTGATCGTAATGTTGGTCGTTTTGGGTTCGACGACGAATCAAGCAGCAGTACTGGCGGATTACGAATCGTGTTTCAAGAAGTGCGTCGGCAGCTGCCCTTTCAGCAACCCGAAATTGTGCAACACGTACTGTTCCATAAGGTGCCAGAGTAGTACTGAACTAACATTACAGAAGCCGAAAAATCTGGCAACGACGAACGACGATTCTGATTCGACTCCGTAGCTAGTCGTGCGCGACTGCTACTAATTCTAAGTTCGATGTGTATGTCCTCGCAACAAAAAAAAAAATGATGTGCGCGCGCGGTGTAATTGAAACAATCAATGTAGTTGGCGAGTCTCTCTTTTGATGGTGTTTCGCAACTCGTTTATCCATATGAATGAATGATGGCATGATGGTAAAAATTGTGTTTTTTGACGAAATTTCGCGTGATCAATCCACTCTATAACTTCAAGTAAACAGAAAACGATGTTACTCGGTTCATTGGAGAGAAATAGAAAAAATAATGATGGTACTGATGATTGGATACATGACAATGCTAGTGATTTTGGGTTCGCGATGCCAAATGACCACGCGAGTGGTGGTGTTTGCGCCTTTGCGGATTATGCTTCTTCGTGTTTCAAGCAGTGCAATCTCTCTTATAGTCTGGGTGATGCAAAGTTGTCTAATCAATACTGCAAAAGAAAAAAAGAAGGAAGATGGTATCCTCCATTAAAGAGGATTTTTTGTTTTTTGTTTTGAACCTGCTCTATTAATTGTTTGGATTTCTTGCTTCGGTTGTTGATGGCTATTCGATGACTAGGACAATGTTTGTTGCACTTAGCAAGACAAATAGTATATACTATAGAATCCATGTTTGCATTTTGCAAGTGCCTTTTATGTTCACACAATTCTCGTTATCTCTCGAAACCAGTTGATTCCTCGAGCTCGAAATCGCTAACAATATCATCATCACCGCGAGAATTTCCAGCGATAAATACGGATTCCAAGTTGGTTCCATAGTCGTGGTTCTTGTTTCTCCTCATATTTTGTCTCATAATTGAATTCACTTAAAAAGAGATTTAAACAACATAAACGTTATGGTGTGAATGTGATCTGTTTTCAAAGGGTAACCAAAAAATAAAAAATCCCTAAACACGGTAATTGGCAGTAATTAATGGAGTCAATTAGAGAGTTATCCTACAGCGTAGTTGCAACGGAAAAGGTAAAAGAAGGCAGCAGCATCCTCTATTAATTATAAAATTAAATGATTCAATCTTTTTGGTCAAAACTGCTCCCCTCTGTATTTCTATAAAAGAAGGAACGGTTTCTCCCCCACTTCGTTACCATCAAGGGAAATATTAAACAACTCCCAAATTATAGCAACATACATATTACACCCTCAAGAAGAATTCAGAATCGTTATCTCCAGGATGAAGACGACGGTGATCGGCGTGATCGTGATGTTGGTCGTTTTGGGTTCGACGACCAATCAAGCAGTACTGGCGGACTACGCATCGTGTTTCAAGAAGTGCGATGGCAGCTGCACTTTGGGCAGCGAAAGATTGTGCAACGTCTACTGTTCCAAAATGTGTCGTGGCCAGAGTGATCAACTACAGAAGCCCGAAAATCTGGCAACGAATAGCGATTCGAAGTTGATTTCATAGTCGCGGCGATACTACTGATTCTAAAGTTCGATCTATGTCCTCGCAAAAAAATGATGTGTGGTGTATTGAACAATCGATATAGTTCAACCCTAGCTATTACCCTGAGTTGTCATGTTAGGTTTTCTTTATGTTAGTCGCGTGAGAATCGCGTGGTTGCTCATATCGTGATAAGACAAGTGCTATGAGATTCTAGTTTAGGTTTATCAATTGTCAAAGTACTTTGGCTACCGACATCCATCTATATATGAAAGAAAGATGATGATGATGATTTCCTTTAATTTTTTCGTCTAACGTCGTCATTTTTCTCCCCTTTGGGTTTGCGGTTTCATTTGCGCGATATCGTCTCTATTTCTTTGTTTGCACTATTACGTGCTTTCCCTTTTCAATATACGAGAAACCATTGAAACATCGTTTTGACATAAATTCACATCGGTTCACTGTATTGAACATTCTCTATCATAATGAATCTAGACATGCATGAATGGAAGAAATTAAGGAAAAGAAGGGAAAACGGCAATAATAATAAGTAAATGGAAACAGCATAATTGCAACAGAACAAGAAAGGAGCGCCATCCTTTGTATTAAATTACAAGTTAATTCAACCAAAAAAAAATCACAAAAAAAAAAAAATAACTACAAGTTAAATGAATCTACTTATAAAAGAAGAGGTAGATATTCGCCCACTTTTTAGTTATTGTGAAAATCAAGATCTCTAGAAATTAACATAATAAACCCTCACGAAGAAAACAGAATCTCTGGAGAAATCGTCGTTGCAGAAGAAGAAAAATGAAGACCATGGTTGGAGTGATTGTGGTACTGTTGGTTGTTTTCGTTTCGGCCAATCAAGTAGTGCTGGCAGATTATGCGTCGTGTCTCAAAAACTGCGATTTCGATTGCCATTTAGGTAGCCAGAAATTGTGCGATCAATACTGCGCGAAGAAATGTCACGGTCAGAGCGAAGAGCAGAAGCAGGAAGTTTTGGCAAGTGACGACGGTTCTAAGTCAATTTCATAGTCATTTTTGCTCGTCTATCCTCCGAAATAAAATGATGTGTATGTTAGACTATTGGTAAGTCTCTTTTCCGAGAAGATTTACAACTTGTTATCTACATTTTTCGATGACAGAATGAGATAATAGTAATATATGTTACGTTGAAATCGATCGATGATGCTCGTGGTGGTGCAATTCTCGGAGAGCTCTGATTCCTGTTACTATAGTCACCGTTTTTGTAAATTTTCTTATGTTAATCGTCATTCAAATCGAACTGTCCAAATTGTGACACGACTGGTACTCCATTATTGTTATGGCATTCTCATAACATCTAGCATATCTTTATATACAAATGACGAAAGAAAGGTGTTGATGTGACTTGAATCGGACTATCAGCCGCTACGACTGGAAGTCACGGGATCTCGACTGGTTGTAACCGCTTTTTCTTTACTAGATTGGAATAAGGTTAGACCTAGGAGAAGTACTATAAATACTTCTCATACTCCTCTGTAATCTGTATCTCCTCGATTTATAGTGAAAACTGGCTCTCTCCTGCCCGTGGACTAGCTAACACATATTGTGTGTCGTGTGCTCTCTGTTTTTGTTTTCTTGCTTTGTCGAAACCTCCAATTTCTCGATCCGCGGAAAACAATCGTAACAAAATGAATGAAAATAATTTAAAAAAATTAAAGGAATCAAAACAATAATATTGAGTTTTCTTCTTTCTTCTAATCCAAATTCATTCTCCCCTCTGGATTACGATTTCAATTATTGGAACAAACAAGGCATACAAATTAACAATAATGAAAACATCTGCTCTATAGCAACCAATATCAATTTCGTCGCTAAAGCTAGTCCCGATCCATTCGTACAAACGACGTTAGATCCCAAATTCCCGTCGGATACTCAAACACAAACGTCTGGTACTTCCCCGGGCCGTAACGGTCGGCGGCGGTGATGTAGAGGTGGTAGTTCGTGCCGTCGGCCTTGAGATACTCGCCGCTGTCGACGCTCACCAGAGTCAGCGGCGGCCGGTCAGGGTAAAATTTGTTGTACTCCTTCACCGCGAATTGGGCGATCGCCGTCACCTTCGGGGCCTTCAGGTTCTTGAACGGCAGCCACGAGACGGGGATATTGCTCTGCGGTGGCGGCGTTGCTTCCGCCGCCGAGAGGAGGAATATCGCGAGGAGGGCGGCGGCGGCGAAGAGGAGATTGGATGATGACATGGTTTGGTTTCTGTGTGGGTCTACTTTTGTGCCCACGAGTTGTATGTTTGTTATCCTTTTATATGGAAAATTGAGGAGGCTATATTTGGTGGTTGTTTAAGAAATTTTTGATCTGACACAAAGTTTAACGCTTTGTCTTCGCTGTATTGGTTTCCTTTTTCGCATTAATAAGAGAGAAACTAATTCAATGAAAAAAAAACTGTTGAGAATATCTAACGGATTTGGTGAGTTTATTTTGCTTCTTTTTTTTTCAAGGTAATTAAAATTCATGGTAATTTATTTTGGATATATCTGAAAGGGAGAAACCAAAGAAGGAAGTGTTCATCAGTTCATATATATCAAAGAATTACCAGATTCATAATTCATCGGTATCATAGTAACGCGTGAATATGTAATGATTATCGCTTGTTTGAGTCTAGTCGATTTCTTTACGAAAGCTTTTGTCAGATAAGTGATCATAAACGCGAAATGTAAAGACTAATGAAGCGAAGCGGGGTGTTATTTTATAATCAAGGTGTTACTTGTTTATTTTATAAGCAAGGTGTTACTTTGTATGGTTGTATTGCAGCCAATCGAGATTGCAAATGAGTCGAGTTATTCACAAACAATTCAGTATTCAAATTCGAATGGGAAAATTAATCAATAATCATGGACCCGCCTTTTAAACGTGTTAGGGTTTTGCTCGACTGCATGATTTAGTCGGATTATAAATATTTAGCCACCACTCCGAGTAAGATTATTTTCATAAACACTTTCTAAACAAATCGATACTTATGGGCTCACCTTTTAAATGTGTTAGGTTGTTGCGCGACCGTATGATTTAGTTGAACTTTAAATCTTTAGCCACCACTCGGAGTAGGATTCTTTTCATCAACACTTTATAAACAAACCAATCTCGTCACTATTTGTCCTTTCAAGGAGTCCTTACATGTAACATTTTTTAGGCAGTAATTTCTGAAGTTTCCGCAAAGGAAACATGACACCTTTTATTTACTCTGCGTCCTTACTTTTAAACCATACAAAGGAGCCTTGATAACAACTAATACACTGGTTGCTTTATCGAGTCGAACTTGAGTGGGCACTAGTACTTGTACTAATACTACAATCGATGCAATTGACAATTTTGTGTATTAACTTGTCCATGAACATACGCTATTCTCGAAAGTCCTCAAATTCTAGCCTATGGCATATGATGCAGTAATTAATTTGAGACATTGAAATAGTCTTACTCAATGAATATTTGTTGGTTTTGATTTCAGTTGGTCATGAGATTTGGTGCGGTTGAATGATATCTAGCAAATCGATTTGTAGAGATAAAAACTAGACACTAGCAATTAATTAAGGGCACAATCACACTTTAGATAAAAATGACATAATCAACTAATAATACATTACTAGATAACCAACAAAAGTTTATGTTATTCCTAATTATTAATCAAACAATGAAAAACTTAAAAACTAAAACAAAGACTGCTAAATTATCGTTCATGCAGGATCTTAATTTAACCCTTTAACTATACGTGTGAAAAAAATGAGCTCCATCGCACCAAGCCTCACGTTAACTTCCGTTCGGTACAGACTCCCCTTGGAGTCGAGCCTGTTGCCTTCAGCCACCATCACGTCGAGCTTATAGTTCATGCCGTCCACCACCTGGACAAGGCCCCTCCTAATGCTTACAAGTCTCAACGGATCTTTGAAATTGTTTTCCCAGTTGTGCATTCGTACCGCAAACTTGGCAATCTCCTGGATGCGATAGGTGTGTATGTTCTCTATCGGCTGCCACCCACCGTAGGGATTAGCACTGACGGTGGAGAGAACGACTGCGATGGTAGTCAGAGCCACGAGAAATGTAACAGGCTTCATCTTTCGTACGCAAGTGATTCTTCGTGTAATTCTGTTTAGGAAGATGTTTGATTGGTGTGTGTATTGGATGTGAAGCAAGACTAATTGTGGTGTGTATTTATAGGCTATCTTTCTTTCATTTGTTTGTTTTTCGGTCTTATGGTAAAGTTGTCCATTTTTAGTTATGTATCCCGTTATTATAGATGGTAGGTATATATTTTTGCAATGTTTATGCGTAACTTTGGCCGTAGACTCTCCTCTTTTACCGATTATTTGTTATCTTCCCAATAAAACATGTCATAGACTTGTTGACTATTCTTATTTTCTTACTGTCTAAGGTAAAAATATGTTAATATGAAGGGGAAATGTATAGACGAGTCAGGCGAAGAAGAGCTAGGTTAAGAGGAATATCCAAATTTGGTTTTTGGGTCTAAGTGGTTGGGTGAGTGTTGGTCGAGTTAGGTGCAAACAAGGTTTATTCGACCCATTGGGTTTCGCCCTGACGGTGTAAATGATGACAACTACGATAGTTGTGTCAAGAAAGAAAACAACATTAGAGAAATATTAGCACTTTACCCTTTATTACACCCTTAAAAATAAAAAAAACCTATAACAACCAGACTACAAAATCTAATGGTCCTAACTTTAAATGAAAAAATCAAAAGAGTTTTGTATGCAATTCTATGGGCCACCCAATTATAATTGGATGAGGTACTATCCTATATACTATGCCGATAGAAAAGGAAGAGGTCCAATTAGACACATTCACATAGGATCGGGCCATCAAAGACATTAGGTAGGCACACTTACATCAATTCATATTTCTCGTTTGATTTCGGCCGAACAGAACAAAATAATATAATTCACTCAGAGCTAGCATCCTAATGAGAGAAATTTATAAGTGAATTCAAATGATAAATTCATGCCTAGACATTTGACGCGATAAATTGAAGTCCACTAGCTACAAATAAATGCACAACATGATTTGCACATGTATTGGTGCAAACTAAATAAAATCTTCATTAGGTTGTACTCGTAAACAAGTTTAAGAAAACTTAATCAAATCAATTGTCTATAGTGTAACAATTCTGTTTAGTATCTTATTTACATGTTTGCTTTTTTCTATGAAAAGTGCATTTTACTAAATAAATATATAAATAATTGTAAAGTTAACACTTTAATTTATTAAATATGGATATTAAACATGTTACATAGGTTTTATATGTGTTTAATACGGGAGTTATAAAATGAATTATTGAATAGAACAAAATAAAACGGCTTGAGAATAATACAAATAGACAGAAGTTTTAAACGAATAAAGTACGTACGGGTACAGATACGTGTATTAAACGGAGTATTTACTAACGAAGCTTGTCAGGTTGTGCGGGTCAACTTGGAATTTGATTGATATGAGTATGTCAAGGACTGTGTGGACCACGTGGTCGTCCGCCCTTTTGCTTGTTTCTTTGTTTCTGTATCTATGTTTCTGACTTTGGGATTCATGCATGGATTGGCTCTGCTTTGCATTGGTTTGTTTTCTGCTATAGAAGTTGAAGCTGAAACTTGATAAGATTGTGACGGCCAATATGCGACATTGTGCTGGCCGTCACCTTCGGGCGGGGCCTTCAGCTGGTTGCTTCCGCCGCCGAGATGAAGAAGAGCGCGAGGAGGGCGGCGGTGGCGAAGAAGAGATCGGATGATGGCATGGTTTAATTTGTTGGTTTGGTTTCTTTTGAGTGTCTAGTTTTGTGCCACGAGTTGTGTGTTTGTCAGCATTTTATATGAAATTGAAGAGGCTATATATGGCACATGTTTAACAGGTTGTGTGGTTGTTTAAGAAAATTTTGTTGAGAATATCTAGGGGATTTGGTGAATTTATTTTGCTTCCTTTTTTTTCCAAGGTAATTAAAATTCATGGTAATTTTCTTTTGGATGCATTTGAAGGGAGAATCAAAAGAAGGAAGTGTGCACATATATATATATATATATATATATATATATATATATATATATATATATATATATATATATATATATATATATATATATATATGGTGGCTACTTCGGCGCACTCACTTGCACCCACTCTAAAAGTGTCCATATTACATCAAATTTTGAACTTTAATTAGTACTCTCAATCTAATATGATGATATGACATAGAATCATAACAAATCAATCTATTACCCTAACCCCTTAACCTTCAATTTTGAATCCCAAATTTTAAACCTAATCCCTAACCCTAAATCCCTAAATCCTTTAAATTAAAGTAAATTTTGAATGAATTTTTTTCAAATTCATGTGCTTCTTGTTCATAATATCATAAGCAACAATTGATACCGTTTTGACGTGAATCACATGCTCAGAATGACAATTATGAGGCGGGTGCGCTGAGTGCACCCAAAAAAGTGGGTGCACTGAATACGCCACCATATATATATATATATATATATATATATATATATATATATATATATATATATAAGGGTCAGACTGGCGTACGTCAGGCGTATACTATACGTCAGGTACTACTAATGAGATATCTCTATCTAGACCATGAATTAAATCGAGTTTGGGGTATGATACTATACCCTAACCTCTAATGGATAAACCCCAGGCACCCATTTTCTAAGCCCTAACCCGAAGTTTGATTAAATGAAAAACAAAAATTGATCGTTGAGATCGGCCGGAGCTCATCTAACTATATCTAACGGCTAGATCACCTGACGTATACTATACGGCTGACGTACATCAGTATTCACCATATATATAAATATATAAATATATATATATATATATATATAATTACCAGATTTGTAATTCATCGGTATTATAGTAACGCGTGAATATGTAATGATTATCGTTTGTATGAGTCTCACCGATTCCTTCACAAAATCCTGTGTCAGATAAGTGATCATAGACGCGAAATGGTGTAGTAGTTAAGGGAAAGTTCTTCGATTTGATTTAGTTTATGTCATAATCAAGATGTTACTTACGATTTTTTATTGAGATAAATCTTATTCAACTCACAAGACTAGCGAGGCCCGAGGATCAAATATGCCCAAGTTTTGGTGGGTAACTCCGTACAACAAAAACAAGTCCCAAGGAAGAAATATGACCCTTAGCAAAGACGACGAGTTTCCGTCACTAAATATCACTG